GAAAGGCGTCCGCAATAAAGCGTTCTACCATCAGCCGTGTTTGGTGCTCTGAATTATGAATCGTTCAAACACTTATCTTTAAAAGTATTTACTTCCCACATTCTCATTCCGAATCTGTCACGCAGCAAAGCACTTTGCCAGCATTGATAAAGATTACTTATTTGCGGCCAGCCGGGACAAGCACAAGGATCGGTTAACCTCTTTGCCGACAGTTGCTCAGCTTCATGTAAAGTCTGAAGGTGCCTTTTGAGGGTGGCTGTTGGCAATATCCTTCCTTCGAAATGTCTCTTAGGTTAACTTTCACTTGAAAGCATCGCAATATACAAATTTTGAAGAAGATTTTGTCTAACGTGAAGTACTCCTGCCCTTATTGACAGCCACTGAAATGCTTCGGAATTCCCAGTGTGATGTCTATGAAGGTTGAGAAGTTCAGTGATGCCAAATAGCCCTAAAACAATTCTTAGAATCAACATTATCCAAAACAGATTAATCTTTCACCGACTCTAGCGTAAAGATCATTATTTCAAATGTGATAAGAGTGTTCTCGACCATACATCTGATAGCGCAGGGCATTCGTTCTCTTTAAAATCCGTAGGCATGAAAGTGCTGCCTGGTAAGACTCTGCCTAAATAAATACCTTTCTGCGTTCGGTATGCCATACAAGACCGTCGAATGTGTATGAGTTTGACTTATAAGATTTCAACGCTTTAATCTTAAAAAAAGTAGATTGCGCACTTTTCAAACTCGCACCTCTAGTTATGGAAATCTTCTGCCGTTTCGAGGTTAGGCCTCAACGCGGCTTATAATCCTTCGTATGCGTAGACCCTGGTGTTGAAAGCTTCAGCTTCATGCAATTTGCTTGATAAATCAGACCACATGTATGACACTCTGTAGTTACTTCTACACAACTTCAATCTATCTTGCTTTATGGAATATGAAATAATTAAAGTATTTCTTTTCAGAGTTTTAGCTGTTCTGATGGCTAAGCTTAGAATATAGCGCTTACTTCTCAAATAGCTTAACCGTGAACTAAGTTATGTCTGTCATGAATTGTTCCAATGGAGCAAAATCTTCAGCAGCTATGCCGCCGCGATGATCTGTCGGAGCTGATGGTTGATGTACGGACATGATCTGTATTTGTATATGTATTTGTATAAAACGTATTTGTAAAAAGGATGGACGAGTGGAAGTGGAAAACATCTAAAAGCAATATATAAACGACAATGGCAAAGTTTTTTTACGTTTGAAATACTAAAAGTTACTCCTTTAATTAATTGAACGGAAATTCACTTCATTTCATTTTATTTCAGAGTGATTGACAGGATGTCTGGCTAACAAACAAGAAAAAATAATTTAATGCAATTACTTCATTTTTTTGCAGTGCCCGTTGTAGAAATTAAAGTATAGGGAGTGTCAAAAGAAGAGGTTTCAAATGGAATGAGGCACTAATTTTAACTTAAATTTCATTAGTAACTTAATGAGCCAACTATGTTTTCATATGCATACTTATTTATGCATGAAATAGATTAAATAAGATATGACTGACGAGTGCGCGACCACTGTCCAATCCGGAACAAAATCTACAACGATCCTGCATTTCAAATGAACTAATGACCTGCAGGATCAAGCTTTGTGTAATCACCGCCCAGTTGGGATGACGTGCATTAGTGGAACCGGCTTCGTAGCGAGATTTTAGTACCGCGATGAATGCACTTGTGTCAGATAGTAAATCGTAAATTCTTATTCAAATATATATTGTAACATGGATTACATCGAAAAAGCAAATGACACAAGTAGGTTAATTACTAAAACATTTATGGTACAGCAAAGGTAAATACGCTGAGTTAATGGTGTACGTGTGTTCCCTTCTGCAAATTTTGCTGCTGATTTTTCCGCTATTTCGGCTTGAAATACCTTCCTTACAGCTGTTCAAAAATTGCAAACAGGAACAACATTAAACATGATTCCTTAATAACTAAAGCAGAAAAGAGAGTAGTCATCACATGATTTATCACTACAGACATTTCGGTCAGTGCATCACGAGCTTCTTTCAACAGAGGAGGTTGGTACAGCGCCAGATTAAAGTTGTTTCTCAGCGATTGATATGTTTGGAGACAGAAAGCAAGCTTATGACTTTAGCTCCTGATTAAATGGTTTCTGAACCACAGGGACAACAAGGCTCGTCCAATTCACTAAGAGTTTTCATCATTTGTCGCAGCTGACGTTGTCATAGAACTGCATCACTAATGTGAACTTCATACCCCTGCACAGAGAATGTCTTTATTTTATGACGCGGTACACTATTACCGTCGGGGAGAGAAGTGTGCTTTTGCTGAGCCACCTGCAGCACAATTTCTGGGTTCTTTCTGCATTTTTTGACTTTGTGTAGATTACGCTTCGTTTTTTCTTAGCTGTTCCGTTTTCGGTTAAGTCGAAACCATTCAACGTTCGCACTGGTCTCCGCCAAGGCTGCATCCCGTCCCCTATCCTGTTTGTGTTGTACATGGATAGAATAGTCAGGAGCTGCCAAGGCGATGAGGGTATCGGTGTAGGGATGTTAAGTCAAGAAGGTTGCTGTTTGCAGACGACCTTGTTTTATTAGCATTTTTTGAAACTGATCATCAGTGCTCCTTAGAAAGGTTCGTAGCCGAGTGGGACGTGACCGGCATGCATGTGAACGCATCCAAAACGAAAAGCCTAGTGCTTTCTCGTTCTC